CTTTTCCTTATCACTTGATTAACTCAGGTATTTTGTCCCAGCAATGGAAATCTAATGTGGAGCAATGGAGCTAAGGCTGGAGTGTCCCTGATACTACATGGTTCAGATGCCTTTGCAATGTGTTTGTGGGGAGCATTTGGAGAAGTGTGGAGATGCTGACTGCCTGAGAGTCTCAAGAATGTTCTAAACGGAGCTTAATGGACATTGTGATAGAGACTTGACCAGAGTGGTGGCAAAGTTTGGATGGGACTGAGGATTCTGATAGGAGGTTGACTAGAGGGTACTGCTAGTGTAATACATCCTGAAAGCACACACACACACACACACACACACACACACACACACACACACACACTAACACACACACACACACTATTCCCTGAGAGCTCATGAAGCTGAATTTAAAGGAGTGTAAGAGTACAGTTTAGAGAGGGGTGTTTGCTAAAGAGATTGGAAACATTATAAAGAAGCTAAGAGCTTTACACCAGGACAACTGGAAAGATGCTACGAGGGCATCTCAGGAATCTATGAGACCCTACCATCAGAGCGACAGGTGTACACATGAACCAGAGCTTCAGTGCCTGTGAGATGGGTCCCCCCAGGCACTGGTAATCTACCAAGTATGATAGGGTTTGGGTTTGTTAGGTGAGGTCCCTGTGACATGGCACATTTTGGTGCTGATTTGTGTCAGCAGGGCCTGCCCTCTCACATCTCTCACATGGAACATTTATATTTCTCTTTGCCATCACACATCCTCCTGCCCCAGATCAGTCTCATTCATTGAAGGACACATGCCTGACTAGGACATAGAGGGGTGGCCCTGTCCCATAGATCTAAAAAGGGAAAATGTCACAACAGGGAGAATGAACATCTTGTATGATGCAATTAAGGAACACAGCAGGATGGACCAGTGGCTTCTCAGCAACTCTGGGATCCAACCCATGCCACCTCCACAGGAATTCATCAGGCTACCATGCTTGCCTCTGTAGAAATGAGACAAGCTGATGACACCCTGTGTTCTCACTGGTCCTTCTGAAAATGCTGCTGGATCCAGAAGGACCCAAAGTCCACACTCAGGTTCTGCATTTTCCCCCTTCAGGTACCTTAGAGCTCGTTCCTTCAAAGACACTTTTAATGACTTGGTGGTGTTGGGCGTGAAGTTACCTTTCCTGGGGCTTTTGAGCACCACAGAGCCAATTCTCCTGTGAAAGGAAGATGCAGGAAAACCCCCATGGTCATCTTTCACAAACATCACTTTATTCTAAGATTCATGACAAACACTTCAAGAACTTTAATGTCTGCTAACAGTGAGGCAGGGAAGTGCCGGGAGAAGAGGGGTCTCACGTGACCTGGGTAGACTTTGGACACGTTTTCAGCTCCTGCCCCCTGACTATGGATGCCTTGAGGGGCAGGGTCCTTGCAGAATTCCTGCGGCCCAGGATTCCATCATTTGCTCCCTTCCTCCTGGCTGGAGCCCTGAGCAGGGCACGGACACAGGACATCATGGGCTTTCTGCATGGTTCCGTCTGCAGGTCTCGGTCCATACATGAGTCCTCTCCAACACCACGGCTGCAGAACTGTGGGTGGCCTTCTGCATCCTCCGGAGAACTCTTAGAATACAACAACACACGTGAGAGAGAACCTTGTGACTGCAGCTATACAGGGCGTCTTCCCAACCGTGGTCACCCTGCTCTGCCCTGCTCTCCAGGCTGCTTCCTCCTGTCTAGACCTCTGCTCCCACTCACCTCTGTCCCTCATCACCTAGCTCCCACCCCATACCACTTTTCTCCTCCCTCCGCACCTCCTCTTTTCCTTCCCCCACTCCCTTCTCTTAACACGCTTCTGCTGTTGACTTCTAGTCCAACAGTTTTAGATTTCCCATGTGCAGGATACAATGAGATTTGTCTTCTGGGATGCTAGATATGTTGATAGTTTCCATTGAACCTTCCCATGGTATCTAGATCTAGCTTCCCAATACATTGTATCCTATAAATACACATGGTTGTGATCTGTCCATTGACACAGACATGAGTAAAACACTCATTCAAATACAGAAAGATACCTGGGCCACGCCTGCTGCTTGTTCTCCAGACACCCTCCTTGTGCCTCATTTCTGAGGGGAGACTCTGTTCTGCCCCTGGTGAGATTTCCTTGATGGACAACAGCAGCACAGTCTCATCATGGCATCTTCTATCCCCCTTGTCCATGCCCTCAAGCCTCGAGGCTGGCCCCAGCTTCGGGTGGACTTGCCCTTTGCTGAGGCGCTGTGGGGGCATAAGTCATCTTCTGTGTTATCACTGCTGGTACTCCTTGAGTAAATGCAGGGGGCACTCTTGGAGCGTTGGTGGTCTTGGTCCAAAGTGAGTGTCCTCTGGAGTGGCGTGTGGAGAGGAATGGCGTACTCTGTGGCCCTTCTGTCTCCTCTTTGACCTGCCTGCTGGCCATAGGCAGACAACTGACCACTAGTGGGTGATCCTCTGAGCAAAATGCCAAGGGTGGGCTCACTGCTCCTCCTCCTGAGTGGTAGAGGGAAAGCAATAAGGTCCTCTAGGGAAGGGAATGGCGCCAACCCCGGGTTCACGGGTTGAGCTGAGGTTGTGCAGCTAGGCCCCTGGAGAGCCTGCCTTTGCAGTAAGCAATAGGACGCCATGGTCTGGTCGAATTTCCTGTGACATAATGAGTCTTTGATGTCCTGGGCTTGGAACCCAATCCGTTCCATGGCTTTCACAATTGCAGGGTCGGGCAAGCTGGGGACCATTTCTTCACAGTCATTCGGTGAAGCCTCCGTGTCTTTCCTAAGCCAGGAGTGTGTCATCACTTCATCTGCTGTTGGCCTACGCTTGGGGTTGACTCTCATTAAGAGGCTGAGCAGGTCCTGGAGTTCTTTTGACAGGCCCAAGGGGACGGTATAATTCCCTTTCACAATCTGCATTTTGAGCTCTGGCGAGATGACAGCGCAAAATGGGAGTTTTCCGACCACCATGAAATATAGGACCACGCCCAAGGCCCATATGTCGGCCTTGGGCCCATGACAAAGTTCAAGTAAGAGTTCCGGAGCACAAAAGGCATAAGGCCCAATGAAAAATCCAACATTTTGCCCAGGCTTGAGTTGGGTGCCAAGGCCAAAGTCAATGATTTTGACTTTTCCGTTCCCATCTACCATGATGTTGTCTGGTTTCAGGTCCCGATGAATTACTCCCTGCTTATGGCAGTAACTCACAGCACTTAGGATTTGCCTGAAGATCCCCCGGGCATGGTCCTCCTGCAGGTGGCCAGCCTTTTGGACGTACTTATAAAGTTCTTTTCCCTCAAACAGCTCCATGATGAGGTACGTTCTCTTGTCAGCCTCAATCACTTGGAGAAGGGAGATGATGTTGGGGTGGTTCATCAGCTTCATAATATTTACCTCATTCATGACTGCAAAGCACCACATCTTCCTCTTCTGAAGTACTTTGACAGCCACTGGGGTGCCTGTGAGGCGGTGGTGGGCCAGTTTTACTTTGGCAAAGGCTCCACTGCCAATGGTCTTCAAGACCACATACTGCGAGTAGAAGCTCTCTGGATCCAGGAGGCTGGAGTTAGATCTGAGCCCTGCATAATCCTCCACGAACTCTGTACAATTATCTACAAGTTCTGCACACTCCTTTTCACAACAGGAGAACATTATTGGTAACAAACATAAATGCTACCTAAGAGAAAGAAAAAAAGGAGAAAGAAAGAAGAAATTGAAAATGAAAATAATGGAAAAAAAAGAATAGAAAACCTAAAATCCTATCAAACAACTAACAACTACAACAAAAACCAAGAAAACCAAAACCACACACAAAGCCAAGAAAATCCAAATTAAAAAACTAGTTGTAGGTCACTAGGAAGGAGGACCCCAGCTCAGCAACATTGAGAATAAAGACCACTAATTACTTAAGAAGAAAAAACATACAAAGAAATATAGAAAGGATGCAGAAATGAAAAAAATTAGCAAATCCAAGCAATAAAAAAATTAAAGAAAAACAAACCAAACTCCAAACAAACAAAATACATTAAAAACTAAAAACCTAGAAATCAAAACAAAATATAACAAAGCCCACAAAAGCTTCTAGAATATACAAATAACTAAAAATAAATAAATAAGTAAATAAATAAATAACACTAAGAAACAACCCAATGAATAATTGGGATAGGGAACTGAAAAGGGATTTCTCAGAAGACACACAAATGGATTGTGTGTGTGTGTGTGTGTGTGTGTGTGTGTGTGTGTGTGTGTGTGTTAGTGTATATTAATATTCACCATCCTTGGCCATCAGGGAAATTCAAATTAAAACTTTGAGATTTTTGTCTTATGCTGTGGGATGGTCTATATGTCAAATTGCTCTGATTGGTCAATAAATAAAACACTGATTGACCAGTGGCCAGGCAGGAAGTAGGTGGGACAAGGAGAGAGGAGAATTCTGGGAAGCGGAAGGCTGAGGCAGAGAGACACTGCCAGCTGCAGCCATGACCAGCAGCATGTGAAGACGCCGGTAAGCCACCAGCCATGTGGCAAGGTATAGATTTATGGAAATGGATTAATTTAAGCTATAAGAACAGTTAGCAAGAAGCCTGCCACGGCCATACAGTTTGTAAGCAATATAAGTCTCTGTGTTTACTTGGTTGGGTCTGAGCGGCTGTGGGACTGGCGGGTGAGAGAGATTTGTCCTGACTGTGGGCAAGGCAGGAAAACTCTAGCTACAGTCTTACTTCATTCTGAATGGCAAAGACTAACAAAAGGCAACAAATGCTGATGTAGATGTGGATGATGGAAACTCTCATGCACTCTGGATGCTGGTGTGGGTGTGGGGGATGAAAATCCTCATGCACTCTGGATGCTGGTGTGTGTGGGGGGGGGATGGAGACCCTCATGCACTCTGGATGCTGGTGTGGATGTGGGGGATGGAGACCCTCATGCACTGTGGATGCTGGTGTGGATGTGGGGGATGGAGACCCTCATGCACTGTGGATGCTGCTGTGGGTGTGGGGGATGCAAACCCTCATGCACTGTGGATGCTGGTGTGTGTGGGGGGGGGATGAAAACCCTCATGCACTCTGGATGCTGGTGTGGGTGTGGGGGATGAAAACCCTCATGCACTCTGGATGCTGGTGTGGGTGTGGGGGATGGAGACCCTCATCCACTGTGGATGCTGGTGTGTGTGGGGATGCAAACCCTCATGCACTCTAGATGCTGGTGTGGGGGATGGAGACCCTCATCCACTGTGGATGCTGGTGTGGGTGTGGGGGATGAAAATCCTCATGCACTCTGGATGCTGGTGTGGGTGTGGGGGATGAAAACCCTCATGTACTATGGATGCTGGTGTGGATGTGGGGGATGGAGACCCTTATGCACTGTGGATGCTGGTGTGGGTGTGGGGGATGGAGACCCTCATGCACTGTGGATGCTGGTGTGGGTGTGGGGCATGGAGACTCTCATGCACTGTGGATGCTGGTGTGGATGTGGGGGATGGAGACCCTCATGCACTGTGGATGCTGGTGTGGATGTGGGGGATGGAGACCCTCATGCACTGTAGATGGGAGTTCAAACTGGTGCAGCCACTGTAGAAATCAGTGTGGCTGTTCCTCAGAAAACTAGCAATAGTTCTATCATGTGGTCCAGCTATACCACTCCTGGGTATATACTCAAGGGACTCTATTTCCTGCTGAGAGACACTTGCTCACCCACGTTCAGTGCTGCTCTATTCACAATAGCTGGGATATGTAAACAGCCTAGACATCCATCAGCTGACGAAGGGCTAATGAAAATGTGGTACCCATACAAAATGGAATTTTATGCAGCTACAAAGAAAACTGACATTATGAAATTTCTAAGTAAATGGATGGAACTGGGAAACATTACACTAAGTGAGGTGACCCGGACCCAGAAAGGCAAGCATAGCATGTTCTCACGTTCCCATTCATATGTGGATCCTTGCATCAAATCTTTGGATTTATTAGCACAACTCTCAGATCTCATCAGAGAAATTAATTTGTGCAAATGTTTACATAGAAATTTACAACTTGTCAAAGAATGGAGAGTGTCAATGCTCAGACACCAACGGGATGTCCACATCACACCCTTCCTCCTCTAAGGCTCAGGGACCATCATGGAGAAGGGGGCAGAGAGGTTGTAAGACCCAGAGGGTGGGAGGGACCGGAGCAAATTATCATCTTCTTGGCATGACAGGACCGCTGCACTCACGAGCTGACTGCGGCTGTGGCTGCCTACACAAGACCTGCCCCAAACCGAGCAGGAAGCCGTCCAGCATGACTACCCATAGGAGCCACTGGCAGCTGATGGTTTCTGGGGAAGGGAGAGTCATTTCTCCTCAAGAACGTGGCCCCTGCTAGGCCACCCACACTGCAATGGATGTCCCCACACCCATGAACTTATGAGCACAAATTGGGATCAATTGCCTATTGAGAGAGAGAGAGGAATTGGAGGTGGGGAGAGTAGACATAGGGGAGATCTAGGAGAAGTTGGGGAAGAATGGGTAGTGAATATGATCAAAATATATTCTATGAACATATGAAATTCTCAAAAATGCTGTATCTTTAAAAAACACAAATAATCAAAAAATCTAAAACCCCAAACAAAGCAAAAATACAATAAGAAAACCTAGAAAAGCAAAACAAAATCAGAAAACCAAAGGTGACACAAAATGTAAAAATAATAAAAAAAAATCCCCCAAAATGTAAAAATAATAATAAAAAAAAAAACAAAGAAAATTTCAAACAAAATCTAACAAACCTGAAACCAGCCCAAACCAAGAAGCCAGAAAACCCAAAACATCAAAAGTAAAACTCAAACACCGAGCTATAGTGACACATACCTTTAGTCCCAGAACTCCAGAGGCAGAGGCAGGTGGATCTCAGGGTTTGAGGCTAGCCTGGTCTACAGAGAAAGGTCCAGGACAGCCAGGGCTACACAAAGAAACCCTGTCTCTCAAGAAAAAAAAAAAAAACCCAAACCCAAAACACCTCAAATAGCCACAGGCTGGGGAGATAGGTTAGTAGTTAAATTGCTGCCCATGCAAAACGGGAGGGCCTCATTCCATCTCTAGAAACCTAGTATAAAAAAAATCAGTTAAAAAAATTGTTAAAAAAATTTTTTAGCCAGGCGTTGGTGGTGCACGCCTTTAATCCCAGTACTTGGGAGGCAGAGCCAGGTGGATCTTTGTGAGTTCAAGGCCAGCCTGGGCTACCAAGTGAGTTCCAGGAAAGGCGAAAAGCTACACAGAGAAACGCTGTCTCGAAAAACCAAAAAAAAAAAAAAAAAAAAAAAAAGATTTAGTTTCTAGTCCACAAACACCTGCTAAGATCCTATAATATAGTACGTAGAGGTAAGCTTTAGTTAAGTGCTTTTTTAATCTCAGATTGCAGAGTTGGCGCAGCAGATCCCTGGGAACACTTGACCAGCTCCAGTTCAGTGAGAGAGACTGTCTCAAAAAACAAGATAGATGACCTACCTTAGGTACAATGGTCAAGTTGACTCCTAGAGTCAACACTTTCCCACACACAGGTGTTCCCACACCTACCCACACAGTGCCCCTATAGGACACACACACACACACACACACACACACACACACACACACACACGTGCACTCACACTCACCCACAGGTATGCCTACCCAAACACAAAAAAACACACAGGTGCACATTCAAACAGGTACTTACACACAAGTGAACTTAAATGCAAAAAGATACACATACCACGCACACAGACACACAAGCCACACACATCTAGACACACATACATATACAAACACAAGCACACAAGCACAAGCCACACATATAAGCAAATCTACCAACACACATCTAGACACACAGGCACATACAAACACAAGCACACACACAAACCAAACAATCAAATGGAAAATTCGCACACGGCCTCGATGGATAACAGTAAAATCACACACCTCCTCTCCACACACCCACAGAAATCCAGGCCGGGCCGCTCACAATCGCCCCTCGTGAGGTCATAGCAGGACCTCCCCTGACACGGCTGGGCGGGCCGCCAAGGCTCTGGCTCAGATGGGCCTCGGAGACTGGCATTAGGTGTTTAGAAATCAGAGCCTGGAGGATGTGCTCAGGCTTCTGGTTTGAATGTCTGCTGTGCCTCCTGCTTTGCCATCCTCATATCTGCACCCGCCACGGCACCTGTTCTTTGAATTCCGACCGGTGGGCCCAAGATGATGCTACAGCTTAACTTACAGAAAAAAATGTTCCGTTCATATATATATATAATAAATATAATAGAGCATATTTATTATCACAGTGAGGCTGTCAGGAAGATACCTTTCTCATACTTTCCAAGGCCATTGGATTCTCATTAAAAAAAAAAAAAACCCTGGGTGGGGGCCTTGGAGATAGGTGAGTGGTTAGAACATTTGCCCTGCAGAGTGTGAGGACCTCAGTGTGAATTCCCAGAGTTCATGTGAAGGCTGGACGCAGCAGCACACACCTGTAATGTCAGAACTCCCTAGAAGCAGGAAAGGCAATGGAGATAGGAAAATGCCTGGGGGCTTGGGGGCCAGGTAACCCGGCATATGTGCTATCAAGTCACAGCCCTTGCTTCAAACAAGCGGGAAGGTAAGGACCGGCAGCAAAAGTGTCCTCTAATCTCCACACACGTGGTAGGACAAATGCATGTCAATATACATACAGCATGTTACACACACACACACACACACACACACACACACACACACACACTGAGAGGTCAGAAGAAAATGGGTCAATTTATGCAAAATGAAATGAAAGCAAGCACACTGTATGAACTATGATTCTCTAGTAAAACATTCCTCTAGAAATGAGGAAGACACCGGGCGGTGGTGGCGCACACCTTTAATCCCAGCACTCGGGAGGCAGAGGCAGGCGGATCTCTGTGAGTTCGAGGCCAGCCTGGGCTACCAAGTGAGTTCCAGGAAAGGCACAAAGCTACACAGAGAAACCCTGTCTTGAAAAAACCAACAAAAAAAAAAAGAAAGAAAAAGAAAAAGAAAAAGAAAAAAAAAGAAGAAAGAAAGAAATGAGGAAGACATTAAGAAGCTCCCAGGGATGAACACTGAGTGAAGGGATTTCAGATGAGATGACCCAGGAATTCAGAACCTCAAGAAGAAATAAAGAACTTCCGTAGAGGCAACTCCACCCACGGTCAGAAAGGATGAACTCTGTTTCCTCCAAACTGTGAGGGACATCATGTCACAAGCCCCCAAACAGCAGTGACGAGACTCAAGTGCACAGAGATGTCTCTTGTGACACCAGTCTCTGGAGCGGCCGGGCAGGGTTGTGAGAACAGCGTTCTGTCTGTTAGTAAGAGGCCTGAGTTCACAGAGGAATGGTGGGGTGTTTAGTATTTTCAGCGTAATCTCCATGGTGACACAGAAAAAAACTAGAATCACGCAGAGAAGAGAGGGACACTCAAGCATTTCTTCACTAAAAAGTCAACTGAGATCAAAAGACGATAATCAGGAAATAAGAGACAAAGGCTGTAAGGTTAATGGAGGTCACAGCAAATGCCTCCTTGGTGATGAGTGCATGCTCGCTCACACTCTGTCTCTCTGTGTCTCTGTCTCCTCTCTCTCTCTCTCTCTCTCTCTCTCTCTCTCTCTCTCTCTCTCTCTCTCTCTCTCAACAGACAGAGGTTGGCAGGATGTATAGAAAACATGACCTAAGTCCATGGCGAGTGCAAGGCTCACTTTGGTGAGCAAAGGTCCAAAGATGGAGCAGGCATGTGTGAGGACCAGGTGCTCTGTGCACACTGTGACCAGAAGGAACAGGGCCACTGTGCTGACACAGACGAAATCGCGAAATCGACTGTGAGCCACAGTCAGGTCACAGGACCCAGGGTGCTGTACCATTCCTGAACACCAGTGCCTCCTGTGGGCTGGAGCCAGCTGCCAGCGCCATGCCATGCACCAATCTGAGCTGCACAGGGGCTGACATGGCAGTTTAAGATTTGTCTCACACAGTCAGAGAACGCTGCAGGCACCTAGTAAAGCCAGGTCCAGACACAGAAGACCTCTCAAGGTACAGTATATTTTAAAATATGCTTAGATGCAGAAGAAAGAAAACAAAATGGGTATAGGCAGTCATGGAAAAAAAGCATTTAGAAATAATAAAGTCTTTAAGGAGAGAATAAAGTAATATAAAAGCAATAAGCCACATAAAGATGGGAAATACACAGGGGGTCTGGATCCTGTATGGTGCTTGGTTGAATTTGAATTTTTTAAATGCTAATGTACAAAAATCAATAGGCATTAGATTATGGAAACTGCTAAATTAAACCAGCCTACATATTTTTAATAATGTCTTAACTTCAAAATGGAATTCAGAAAATATGTTGTGTTTGGAGAGAGGTTATGACTTTGTTTCCAATGAAAACAAAAAGTTATGGTTCTCTTCAAAATTAATAAAGATCAGCTTTGATTGGAGGAGACCTCCTGAAAATCTTGGCTACCGACCTGAAGAAAGGAGCCAAGGAAGACTAGAGGACAGGGGACATGTGTGCTGACCCCTCTCCTAGGGCACAGCTCTGAGACTGGGTGAGCCATGTAACTCTTATTGCCTACCGTCCTCATGACTTATTATTATTATTATTATTATTATTATTATTATTATTATCATCATCATTATTACATGCCATCCTTTCATATGGCATGGAGGGAGGTTTGGTTATACAGTCCAGATGGACTTTAACATTGACAAATGTGTTTACCTGCTCAAACATAGAACAAAAAATCATTTTAACTGAGTTGTGCATACTGTTCATTCCACAATTGTGTTAATGCATATATATATTAACTTTAAAAGTATGTGTTTTCAGAAAGAAAAAAAAGGACCAATCATCAATGAAGACAAGTAGCCCAAGTGATCCAGCTTCTCAGAATGCCTCTGTTGCAGTTTCCTCAAAATTCTGCATCTAGAACAACTTCAAAGTTATTAGCTGAGATGGTCCAGTCTCACAGGCTATTCAGCCAAGACTTCAAATGAGCTCTACACTTTCCCATCACACAGAGACTAAACAACAAATAATACAGCTAGCTCTCTTAGGACTTGACCAGTATCTCAATTTTCTCAGGGTCCCCTAAAGTTCCCATTACCCCCAGACAACAGGAAGCTGTCTAGAGAACATGATGCCCACATTCCCAAGAGGTGGGGTGGGTGGTTGTTTATTATTCTGTGGGTTATGGATGTTTGTCATTGTTTAGGGGAGTTGGTTATAAGTTGTTATTGGTCATGTTCAGGAAAAAAGCTGAACCTAGGAGATTTGATTCAGGGATCTCGTTCTGAAGGGGAAAAGGGAAGTTATAAAAATGATGGGATAAAAGGGTGGGTTGTTGAGTCTATTTTTGAACAACCACTAGTCTCAAATATTTTATATTAGTATGAATTTTTGTATACTGCTGCAAACTTAAGGTTATTTTTGTATATATATATATGTGTGTGTGTATATATATGTATATATATAAATATATATATATATACATATATATATATATGGTTCTGCTCTTGTTTAAGGTATTGTACGTATGTTTGGTGAGATATTGTGTACCCTAAATATGGTGATATATTATGTACCCTAATAAACTTACCCGGGGATCAGAGGACAGAGCCAGCCACTAGATTAGACATAGAGACCAGACAGTGGTGGCACACACCCTTAATCCTATCAGTAGGAAAGCAGAGATCTGTCTGGATCTCTGTGAGTTCAAGGCCACACTGGGAACAAAGTCAGGCAGTGGTGGCACATGCCTTTAATCTTAGCACTTGAGATCTCATGCCTTTGCCTGGAAAGCACACACGCCTTTAATCCCAGGAAATGACATGGCTGGGTGGAGAACAGTATATAAAACATGAGGAGACAGGAACTAAGCAGCAGTTCAACTGAGACCCTCAGGGGTGAGGACGCAGAGGCTTTCAGTCTGAGGATTTGTGGAAACAGGATCGGCTAAGGGATTGGTGAGGTGAGGTTGGCTGTGTTCGTTCTGCTTCTCTGATCTTCCAGCTTTCACTTCAATATCTGGCTCTGGGCTTTTTTTTTTTAATTATAAGACCTTTTAAGATGCAGGTTTCATACAGGTACCTTCAGGGGTATGTGGCCTCCTCTTCTTCTTTTTAAATGAAAGGAAGCATTTAGTTGGGAGTTTGTTTACAGTTTCAGAGGTTTAGTCCATGACTATCTTGATGGGGAGCATGGTGGCAGCAGGTAGAAGGGTGCTGGAGCAGTAGCTAAGAGCTTACATCCTGATCTGCGGGCAGCAGGCAGAGAACAGCACGTGGACTCTTGGATCTACTAATCTGCAGTACTGAAAGGCCCTTCTGGCACGGGGTTTTCCTTTCACTTGTTAGCTAATGAACATTTACAGAATGTGCTGCCTCAAGTTTCTTCATCCTTTTAGCTTGACCACCTGGTAGAAGTGGACACTTGCATCCCTTGAAAGTGGGACTAAGGACTTTTCTTATTCATACAGCCAAGTTTTCAAGGTCATAATGGAACATGAGGCAGGCATCTCATCCTATTTTCATCTCCGAGCCCCTCAGCACAGTTGCATTAAAATGGGTACCACAGAACTCACCACTGTGAGGAGGATGGCTTTCATGGAGGAACTCATGGTGGCTTCAGGCCTGTGTCCTGCCCTCTGGAATGCCTCTTTATGACAAGTGGCACAGAAAGATGAAGAACGGGGATTATATCTGAGGGAAAAGAAATTGGAGGAGCACATTAAGATACAAGAGAATCACTTCATCTAAGGACTGCTTCCTGTAGATCAAATGCTTTCTTCCTGTTAGCTTAAAGTAGCAGAGGAAAGAGACAAGGAGAGATTGTTGTTGCCTGTTCCACTGGATCCTACAGAGACCTAGAGGACTGGTAAGAAATGACTCTGAGTTCTTATGATTAGGACTTTCAGAAGAACAGAGTGTCTTTGTTATATGGA